TTGGAACAGGCTGCCCAGGGAAGGGGTTGAGTCACCATCCCTGGAGGGATTTAAAAGATGTGTAGATGTGACACGTAGGGACATGGTTTAGTGGGCATGGTGGTGTTCGGTTGACGGTTGGACTCGATGATCTTAGAGGTCTTTTCCAACCTTAATGATTCTATGATTGGATTCTATGATTCCCAGCTCCCAGGGACTTTCCGGCCCTGGTGGGGACAGAGGACCTACATTCAACTGCTGCCATCCACTGAGATGCCTTTCATGTGAGATTCTTGGGGATGCCCAGTAGCAACAGTGTCCCCAAAGCAAGGTCCTGAAGAGCTTAGGGACCAAATCCAAATCTTCCCACAGAGCAGTGATGGTACTGCCACAGGGCCAGCAAGACACCAAGCGTCCTCACTTGTCCCTACACAGATCACAACTTGGCTTCACAGTCAACTTGCAGTGCTTGATCAGAGGCAGAAGAGCTGGTTATTAGACAGCACTGGGGGATCTCCCCTTAGGCATAAAATTAATCCTAGGGTGGCACCACGTGGAAGAAGGAAGTCGTCAGTAGTATCCTCACAGTTCCACACTGGAAAAAATGCCCAGCGGATAGTGCTCTTGCCAAAACCTTCCTTACCCCTTGGAAAGGCAGACCAGACTCCCCAGGTACCTCCACATGCTTTTCACAGCCATGCAGGCAGCTCCATTCCTTGGCTCTAGTGGTCCACGGAAGAAATGTTAATGGAAGGAGGATGCAGAGCAGAAGATCTCTTAGATTTCCGGTCCTTCTTGTGAACCAGACTGTAGCTCCCACAGAGCTCTAGAAGGCTTTTGCAGAATCTTCCCCAGCCCTTTCCCAATGGTGCAAAAGACAAAAGCACAGGGGCTCACATCAGGTAACCCTAGAACAGTTTAGAGAAATATAATCCTCTAAATGCCTGGGAACTAGCAGGCACTGAGAAGGAGAGGCCTGGAGTTAGGATGTAAGAAACTACTTGGGGATCTCAGTATAAGGGTATACATTTTACTTCCTGACAGTGCAGCTGCATGAGATTTTTCCCTGTGTACTCAAAAATGACCCATAAGCAGGACCTGTCACTGAACAGAAAGTCCACCCTGTATCAGTATAAGGGTGAAATGGTTGTCAAAAACCAGCATTTCACCAGACATAACACAATTTAAGAGCCCCACTTGTTTTAGATGTCATGACAAGATGCAAGTGATGCACCCTGTATAGCCAATCATAATGTAAGAAAAATGACGTACCTAGATTTAAAAAGTAAAAAGCCTACTCAAACATTTATAAACTAAAGAATCACACCTGCATCACAAGCATTTTCTTACTGCCAGGCTCTAAAGAGCCAACTGTTTCCATTTCTCCAAGCATTTAAGTATGTTTTTTGCACCTACACTGGTTGACCTGAACACTTGCTGCCTAATAAAAATTTACTCTCTTGATAACAGAGATATGTGCCATAGAACAGCACGTTCTGCTGAAGGAGAGAAACCTCAGCCCTTTAAAATATAATTTTCACACAAATTCTGAGCTGGAGACTCTTTATACAAGATCCCACCAGAATTTACCCAGGGAAGACAGTTCACTTGTATCTATGAAGTCTTGGTAGCTGCTGTTCATGCAGACTATTTTTTTCTGCAATTCCAGTTTCACTACTTTTCCATCATTTATTTCTAAGCTGCACCTACTTGGCAGTTTCCTTTTCCTGTTTTTCTTCCAGAGGTACTATTAATTCAGAAGTAAATCTTACACATCAAAATATGTCCATGCATGTATTACCACGCCCTGGACCTGTACTTACACACAATAAAAAAATTACAAAAGCCAAGTGGCCTCTTCTTCCCTGCCCGATTAACAAGCAATGTTCAGACCCAAAGGAATCCCAGTTCTGGGGTGACTGTATTATTTTTCTGACTCTGCTGCCATCTGCACCTCCTCCCAGTTTCGTTTCATTTGCACAAGTGTCTGTTTTTCTGTACACATCAATCAAGTCCCTGCACTTTGCTACAGTCTTAATATCAAGCATGCTGCAAAAAAAAGGAAGCAGTTACTCAGCAGCAAACCTTCAAAGTCCTCACTTGCATGAATGACCCCCAGGACTGCGACTCACTGAGAAAGTCCAGCCCAAGTCTTCCCTCACATCAAGACTGATGATACCGCTGAGAGCATCACTACCCCGGTACTGCCCTGAAAGAATCAAAGGGTCAAGAGCCAGACTGGCTTTGTGTGGCGCACCATGATCAACTAACTCAGGACAGACACACCATTGCTTGGGGAAACTCTTTGGCCCTTCGTTATTGTAACAGCTTTTAAAATGAGCAGCCTTCCTTCCGCAGTCACCTCAAACCCTTTGCTGAAGGCCACCTCCGTGCCCGCTGGAAATCCATCCCAGCTAGCAATCAACCTCCTCTTAGTGGTTCTCTGCAGGGTCTGAGGGCAAAAGCATGGAGCTCAGCTTCTTCTCTTGGAGCTCTCACACAAAGTACACTGCCATCAGTGTCGTGCTGGATCCACCCATCACACGCGGAGCATGCGAGGGAACGGGAGCACACGCAGCCCTAGAGGGGCTGCACCTCTCCTCCTCCTCCTCCTCCTCCTCTCTGCCGTATGTCTGATTCTCTCCCATTCCCTGAGCTCCTGTGACAACCCAGAGCCAACTTCAAGATGCAAATAAGAGAATCAAAGATTTGCTATTTACACTGTTAAAAGAAAACCCCAAGTTCCTGTAGCACATGCCAACTGCATAACGGAGGGACATTTAACAGCCCCTGCGCTGTTAGGCACCAAAAGGGACGGCAAGTTACCCCGCACCCCTGCCGCAGCACTCCTA